ATTTAAGAATTAGAAGTGGCACCTTCGACTCGTCAGAAAAATTCTAAAGTCATCTCATCAGGAGATGAATTCTTTCAATCGGAGAAGCATTTGATGTAGGCAGGGGGGTCGGTTCATCCCCCCTGTGGCCCTTCGTTTTCTCTGCCTGACCGGGTTCATTCTCCTCTATTGGTTCCCCTCCCAACCTGGTTCTTTCTCCCTTGTGCTGGCTGTTCGTTGGATGTGTCCTGCTGGCCTTTAGGGTGCTACTCCCTTCAACTGTCTTATGGCCTTCTGCCTCCCCTTTACTAATTGGATAACTTGGGTAGCTGTTTAGCACCCTCTCTTCTCCTATATATAGTGGCTGTTTTGAGGCATTTTAGGGAGAGTTATGGAGTGATTTTTGGAGCTAAAAACCTGCGGGTTTCTTCTTGGATAGCTTGTGAGCTAGTCCCCTTTCTCTTCCCCTCTCTATGAATACGTCTCGGGTTTCTTATCTACTTCTTCTCGCCGCAAGTATCCACCCCATTTGTATCTTTCTTCTCAATCAAGGAAAAGCTTTTTTAAGTATTTTTATGTTCTAAAATATATGAAAGTTGTTGTGTGTGTTTAGATATCTTATTTCTTGTGTTTTTTTGAAAGGAATACAAAATTTTATATGCAATCTAGCTACCAATTCGTCTCGAGTTTCTTATCTACTTCTTCTCGCCGCAAGTGTCCACCCTATTTGTATCTTTCTTCTCAATCAAGGAAAAGCTTTTTTAAGTATTTTTATGTTCTAAAATATATGAAAGTTGTCGTGTGTGTTTAGATATCTTATTTCTTGTGTTTTTTTTTAAAGGAATACAAAATTTTATATGCAATCTAGCTACCCTATAGATTTTTTATCGCATCAATTCTCATATGATAAAAAAGGTCATTTAATACTTTCTAATCAAGTTTTTTTAGGTCTACCTCAACCTTTTTTAACATAGGTCAGATTTAATACATTTGTAGTCCTAACAGGGTCATCAGAAGGCCAATGTTATATGGTATCATGGACAGATTATTTTTTAGAGATCAGAATTATCAATCTTTGTCTGCTTCAAAATTATCATTAGCATGTTACTTTCATAGCTTTCATTCATTTATATGAAGTTGATATAAATAATAATGAATATGTTGTAAATATGTATCAAAATTATCCATGATTTTCTTCTCGCCGTAAGTGTCCACCCCATTTGTATCTTTCTTCTCAATCAAGGAAAAGCTTTTTTAAGTATTTTTATGTTCTAAAATATATGAAAGTTGTTGTGTGTGTTTAGATATCTTATTTCTTGTGTTTTTTTTGAAAGGAATACAAAATTTTATATGCAATCTAGCTACCCTATAGATTTTTTATCGCATCAATTCTCATTTAAATCTTGTTTAAATATGATAAAAAAAGGTCATTTAATACTTTCTAATCAAGTTTTTTTAGGTCTACCTCAACCTTTTTTAACATAGGTCAGATTTAATACATTTGTTGTCCTAACAGGGTCATCAGAAGGCCAATGTTATATGGTATCATGGACAGATTATTTTTTAGAGATCTGAATTATCAATCTTTGCCTGCTTCAAAATTATCATTAGCATGTTACTTTCATAGCTTTCATTCATTTTTATATGAAGTTGATATAAATAATAATGAATATGTTGTAAATATGTATCAAAATTATCCATGATTTGAGTATATCAATAGTGACTATACTTTATTTTGCATTCATGCCCCATAGATACAATAACCAACCATTATCTATTTAATAGGAATATTGGATCACGTGATTATCACATAAATTTACATCTTATCATGTTTTATAACTCCTTTTCTTTGCACTTAATTTGTTACCATTAGGAGAAATTATAAAGCAATGAAACTAGCATAATAGCGCACTAATAGGAATCAAAGGATTGCCTTAATAAGTGTTTTTATTTACAAGTTTATTACCACTAATAGACGCTCTACCACCTTTGCCCACACAATCTCTTGCATGATTATTTCTCGCAATGATTTGTCACCACAATGAAAGCCAATTAGATATCTCAATCATGCTACTCACCAATGTTATAATACTATTGTTGCAGCATCCAAAGAGAAATGAAAACTAAGAGTTATACGCCTATGATGTACTGACACGCCTACTTAAGAGGGAATGTAGTGTCGGGCACGTGTCGAACATGGACACGCGTCCAACACGGCTGGGACACATGTTAGACATGGCCGATACGTTTTGATTAAAATAATATTTAAATTTAAATGGACAAGCGTGTCATAATTTTTTTACAATTAAAGTTTATTTAAATTACAAAAAATTTATTTGTTATATTATTTTAATCAAATAAATGGTGTTAAGGAGACATTCAAACCGTATATGCATCAATAAGTGCCCGATTGCACGTATGCCATAGGGTTTTGTCTCTTTCCCTAGTCTTCTACAATCTACACTCATCTTCTTTGTTTGTGCGACCAGGCGACCCAACCGAGCAGAGAGAGCGCACGATTGAAGCCCGGAACCTCCTCGTCTTCTTGTCTTCTTCGAGTCTTCATCATTTGTGATGAGGCAATAAACAAGAAGAATGAAGTAAATTTGAACATATCTTTTAAATTAGTTTTAAAGTTGTTGGCTAATGAATTAATTATTTTACTTTATTTGTATTCTTAGAAGATATCCAAGTAAAGAATGGCTTAAAAAAAACCCTCAACGTGTCTTGCCACAAAAGGATTTAAAAGTTTCAAATATGAGAAAGATATGTTTGAAACGTTATTTCTCAAATGAGGAGGAGAGAAGAAGGATTAATATAGAACTTATAAAGATCTTTGGATGTTTAGTAGATTTTGGTGATTAAGATCCTTTGATTGATAGATGAAGGATAAATCCAAAGATGTGATGGTTGATTAATGGAGCTTCAGCACTACTACTTCAAATAGTAACAATAAAATTTCTTGGTCAAGTTTCGTCCTCCTCTTATTGTGAGAGAAATTGGAGCACATATTCATTCAATCGATGAAGATGAACAAAATTACTCAACAACGAGCTGAAGATTTAGTTTAAGTGCATACAAATCTTCGTCTTTTATCAAGAAATACCCCACTTTATATGATAGGTGATAACAAGATGTTGATGATGCTGAAGATGGGTTCAAGTCGCTTGATGATATGAGAATATTGGAGATTGCAAACCTTTCTCTTGATGAACCAGAGTTGGAAGCAATAATATTCAATGATGATGATGTTGAAGCCAAAGACAACCCTCTGAAACTAATCTTATTATTCTCTTTACTGAGTAGTTGAAGCTTGATGTTGTACTAAATAATTTTTTGCTTATATTTTTGTGGTTGTACTAGACATTTTATACTAATAATTTTATTATAAGCTAGAAAAGTTATATTATGACACTGATTTGTTATTGCTTTTCATTTCTAATATGATGTTGCATTAATTTCTAATTTTCTATACACTATAAAAAAATTGTTGTATCCTATATTTTTAAAAAATGACGTGTCACATGCTCATGTCGTGTTGTGTACATGTCATCGTGTTTGTGCATCTTGGATATACGCTAAGCAAATCACACCAATCTCAACAATATGATACAATTTCATTAACAGAAATATTAAAGGGCATCACATTCCAAATATTGAGTAACATTTTCAACACCTGCAACATAATATTATTTCACTCATTACATCTTTCCTCAAAAGAATTATTATTTTCATAGTTAGATTACAAATCCATAGCTAGTAAGACCAGTACACCAACATTATTGAATCACTTGGAGCACATGACGTTCAAGACAAATACATGACATAGGCAACATAAAAAATATGGTAATTATTAAAAAAAAAATAGCATTAGTTGCATTTGACCACAACATACATAAAAAATGATATTATTTAAATTTCTCATTTTCTGTAATGATACATCTAAAAACCACAGATAAGCAGGAAAATATTAAATTTTATCTGATATAGTGGTAAATCTCACAGTTGTCTACAATCCAAGAGCTGCAGCAAATTAAAAACATTGCAGTAAACAAGAAGAATGAATCTTCAAGCAGCATCTACAGAATATGCACCTAATAAGTAATAACTTGTTGTGCCATCACAAATAGGGATTTCAATTTGGACCAAAGGAAGAAAATATAAGGATTGATTGATCATTAGATGAACTTTTGGCTTTAATCATACCCAAGCAGAAATGAGCCAACTAGTTTTAGCTTGATTAAGCTTAAAAAAACTCGTGCCAAGATTGATGGCTTGCCAGAGGCAACAGCAGCTATTGTTTGTACTGCCAAACCCCTTCTCTTACCCATCAGAAGCTTTGCAGCACAGCTTTTCTCTCAATTAGAAATTAACAAGTAAAATGAATTAAGTTAAACAAATCCTAAACCAGGATCAGATCAAGAAGGATTGAAATAAATTATAAATGGCTCACTCAAATGAATGAAATAGGCCTCACGTGGATCAAAGCTTAAAAGAAACTAAGTATATATCTAATCATGATAACTAGGCTTGTATCAAATTATACGTGTAAGCGTCTATGTACAAACTGCTTCGAAACTGCATTGGTGCTTTGCTTGGCTGGAACTCAGGTTTTAATAGCAAATCAGATCGAGATAAATGCAAGCCCTTTAACAGACAGCCTTAGCTTATACCAATATCAGATCAAATCAATATCAATGTCATCTCAGGCAAGGGTCAGGTCGCTGATCCTGACTACAAGATGAAAGAAATTAAAACATACTTGATACTCCTAACTAAACAAAAAACAACCAGGGTTTATCTGGAGAACACCCATATACCATTTGACGAGCAAAACTTTATAGATAAAGTTAATTTTATTCATAAATGTTATATAAGAACACAATTATTCCATTTTTTATTGCAAAACAAACAAATCAATAGCCATGTGACGAGAAGGCTCATTGACATGTAGTTAAACAGATAAATATTTCAGATTTCTGATAATCACAAAAAGACAGTTTAACCAGAAAGATAAATACCTGGGATTTGGATTTCCTCTGACAATTTTCTGTCCGTACTTACGCCACCTGTATCCATCACTTACATGCCCTGCAACTGCAGTCTGCATAACAACTTTGGGTTGCTTAACTGTTCTGAAAACTGGAGGTGGGTTTGTCACGGTGATTAAGCTTAGCCTGCGTCAAAATGAAGTTGCAAAATTCAGTACTTTTGGTGACACTCACAGTGCCTTAGTTTGAGTCAAATGAAGTCGGTATTTCTGGCAACCTGCCAAAGAATACTTTTGAGAATTATAATCTCAGTCTACTTGCCTTCGTTTTGGCTCTGGCTCTGGTTCATCATCGGGATCTTCTCCAGCTTTGTTACTGCCATCACCTTCACAATCACTAGAGCAATACAGCTGTTGTTCAGGGTTATCAATGCTGGAATTCTGATCAATCTTAGATGTCGAAGGATCTGATTCAACAGTTACAATGCCAGGAATATCAAGACCTTCAGTCACCCCGAAAGGCCCGCTGGATGGATGCCCCCTCTCCTTTGATAATTTAGTTTTATGAGGCTGTTCATGGCTGTGCTGACCTCTGTAAATTACTTCAGTTACTTGACCATCTGGGCAGCGCTCAACTTTCTTCTTAGCAAAGCAATCAGCATTCGTGCATCTATAATAACTTCGAGATCTATCGGTGCTTTTGACCTGCTTTTGACCATACTTCCGCCAATTGTAACCGTCATCAGAGGATGTCTTTGAGACAATAAATGCAGACTGAGATTTTTGGTCATAGGAAGGTGTTTGCTCTGTCTCTAAAGAACTGGCAGCTTCAGTGGAAGCTAGAGGCAGTCTTTGTTGAAGCGGAGAAGGGGTCATGGGTGGTAACATTGAATGTGGTACAGAATTTTTTAGTGATCCTGATGGGGAAGGATATCCTGCTTGTAGCTGCATTTGCGCCTGAGCAGTTACTGTAGCCAAAACAGCTTGATGTGACATTGAAAATTGGCCCTGCATAGGAAGAGGATAACGAACATAAGTGGAAAATTACTATAAGAAAAATGGGTGAAAACTGAAAACATAATTCCTTTCTCATATTCTTAAAATGAAAGAAAAAAATCTCCAAGGCATGTTTAAGTTATATTCATGCTAGTAGGTTAGCGGGAATTAAGAAACAACTCCCTCCTGAGACAATATGAAAGGGTAAAAATATTTTTGATGATATTTACATGCGAAGAACAAAGAAAAAAAAAACTTATTGTTGATTAAGTAAACGAAAACAGCAGAGGTTCAGCAAACAATTAAAAGAAGAGTAATGCGTCACTCCCAAAATAAATTCAAATAAAAAAAAACTATTTTTTTAATAGCGGCATGTGGAGATTTTTTTTTTTAAAAAAAAAAGTGAAAGCCTTGCACATTAAAGAAGGGAGAACTATATCTGCTTGCAAGACTTAGAAAAATCGGAATCATCCCAAAAAAAGCAAAAATCGGCAGATTAATGGTTGTATTTGTAGTCAAGTCAAAGATTTTTTTTTTCTTTTGGGAAATTTTTGAGTAGTCAAAGATTTCGATCTCGAGCATTATTTTGATTTGACAAGATGTTTTTTTCGGCAATGTAATTCCCAGAAAAATTCTGTTGAAAAGACGTCACACACTTCTTATAGCTCTAAAGAGTATTCACCGGACATAAATTTGGAAGAAGAAAGAACCAGCGGACATAAATTTGGAACAGAAACATAAAAAAAGGGTAGCCACAAAAGTCCAAGGAAAGTAGTATTCCTCCTTTCTGAAAGCTCAAATTCTAATACAAGCCCGACCGATCAAACAACAAAATTATGAGAAATTTTCAACCAAATAATCCAGAAGCTAAATACCACCGATGCATGCGCCCAAATCAATCCATCATGCATACGATTAAACATAACAAAAACCTTGAAAAGGCGGAGAACCACAAACCGTGATGCCGTGTGACTCCAACAGCGCAGCCGGTGCTAAGAAACACGGCACAGCAACCACAGGAACCCGGGGAGCATCGATTGGCACGGCAAGAAGTGGCGGTGGGCGAGAGCTCGCCGCAGGCGATGCCATGGCCCCAGCCAGCAACTGCAAGAACGAGCGGCAGTCTCCAGCGGACGTGCTAGGAACAGCGACGATAGGTGACGCGGCTGAGGATTTTCTCCCGGCTAGGGTTTCATTCGCTGGTGCGGGGAGCAGAATTGAACCATCGACCTCTCGATCGGATTTCGGCTGTGATTCTTCCAATTTCACCGCCACGGCCGTCTCCTTACGAATAAAATCTCCTCCAACTTCTCCGGAGGGCTTCTTCCTCGAAGCATCGGTCTTCGCTTCCTTCGTCGACATGGAAGCTTTTGGAGGCCGATGGAAACCGCGACTGAAGCAATATTTTCAATACCTATTCCGTTTGAACAAGCCAAGCTCTAGAGAGAGATAGAAGCTTGAGAATTGGGGTTTGGCAATGGCGACAAGGAAGAGAGGACCAGGAAGAGGAGAAAGGGGACGCAGAAGAAGAAATGGTCGGGGCCGAGAGAGGGCTGAGTGCTTCGGCTTTTGACCGGGATTGACTAATTTTGGACCTGACGGCGTTGATCTCCGTTAATATAAATGGAATGACAGGCTGACACGTGGCGAAACGATGGAGAAAAGGAACCGTTAAGTAGGCCGGCAGGGTGGTTCGACCTTTTGACCTCAGCATAGTACTAACAGCTCCGGAATCCGAAAACCGACGGAGAGGGTCGGGTTGCACAGGCCCGACTGGACCGGTGGGGCCCGTAAGGATGGTGAGATTTACCGCGGGTTATTCATTTTTCGCGTTTTAAGAATGCGAGATATTCGCAAAAGGAAGATTCTTAGAATGAGCCAAATTACCTACTAAATAAAGTTTTATTTCATAAATTATTTAAACTTAGGAAAAATATAATACAATTAGTTTTTTTAAGCTCGTTCATTTCTTTTTAAATTTTATAGATATCTTTCAATAATATGAGATGTATATTTGATTTTTTTAAGTATTTTATATGTTATGTTTCATCTAGTATTAATTTTGAAGTTGATAAAATGGAATATTTAAATATTATGAATGATCAATAATATTAATTTATTATGCTAATTATTAAGCATATTATGCTAATTATAAGGCTTATATTTTTTTGTTACATATTAGTTATTATATTTATTTGAGTTCTAGCCAATCCTTTATTTTTAAGAGGTATTTTGCTCTTTTATATTTTATCTTCTGTATTATTTCACTATGATTTATCTGTAATTCTTACTACTAGTGATTCTATAGTGGCTAGTCGAATATGTTCGTGTGAAATAAAAATTTTTGATAGGAAGGGATCTGATAATGTTACCTATGTTAGAGCTTTATATCACTATGGGTATGTAAGTATGTTGGTTGAGTCAGGTTATAAAATTATAAGCTAAGGGCAATCTAAATGACATAGGGTTGATTAGAATAATCACATACAAACTTAAAGTCAAGAGTCTTTGGTTTTCTAAGTTTTAAGAGTTTTACCCTAGTGGATATAATATCATATGGTGATTGGTTGAAACATTTTCTTCTTGAAGAGACAAAAACAACTCAAAATAAAATTAGAGGTTGCTTACAATTGTTTGGGATGTCCTGAATGTCATCACAAACCCATCGAAGTTAATGTGCAAGAAAGATTGAGAAGTCGCCAAACAAGCTAAATAATAGATTGACAAAGTCAAAAAAAAAAATGGAAAGGCAGAAGTGACTCTCGAACGGTCTTTCTATAACACCCTAAACTTTGATTTTGAAAGAATTTTCTATTTTAATCTCTTAATTAATCAAACATAAATTATATGAATTCATCAACATAAAAATCTAATGGAATTAACTAAAAATCATATACATTAAAAATATAAAATGATATTCATCCTTCAAAATTCATATACAATAAATAAAGGTTTAATTCATACATTAATAAGTATATCTTTTAGCTCTTAACTATAAAACTAAAAAAAATACATAAATAAAATAAAACTTGAATCCATGATCCTTTGTCACTCCATTAGATTCTAATCCCTTTATGAAAACATGCAAAACAAAAGAGTGAGCAATTGCTCAATAGATTACCATAACTTATAACTGAAATCAATACAAGATAATAGAAATTGTATGCATCCAGTCATTTAGCCAATATAAGTGTGAACATATAACATTAAAAGAATGTAAAAATCAATGAAATATTAAATACATCATACGATCAATAAATATAAGTATAATTGTTTATCTTAAGAGCACTTGTCAGTATCAGTAACCCTGCATAATGGTACAGTAAATTATATCATTTTTATACCCATTAGTTATAGAACAATTTCTATATATCTCAATTCAAGAAATTTGTTAAATGTCATATTCATATATATGCATATCGTACAATATTGATTCTATGTTGTATAATTTGTATGTATCATATATTCATATCTCATATAATTCATGTAATTTATAATCAATAATTCATCTTATCATATATTTGTATCAATTATATAAATCATGTCATGTTATATTAGTTATGTAATTTATCATATATGCTTATATTATATGCATATGCAAGCATGAAATTAATATAAACAAGATATGATACCTAGATGCCTATGGTATTTTTCTATATTTAATCTTGCAGGCCAACCCTACAAGACTTATTCTTAATTATATTAGTCTTATTCTTGGAATGATCCATATCATAAGTCATTAGGTCCAGTGGTGGAGCCAGAAAATTTATTGAGGGGGAGCCTAAATTATTTTATTAAAATTTTCTCTCAACTTTTTTCATTTAGGCTTGAGACTGGCATAGACAGTTTTAAATTTTTTTTTTTCAATTATTATCCAAAAATATATAATATTAAATATAAGATAGTAAACAACTTACAATTTACAATATTAAATATAAGATTTATGATTTCTTTATGTTAGAAAGAATTTTTTTGAAAAACTATGCATTTTATTTTAATTCCTCAAAAGTGAAGATTTCAATTTCTCTCTCATAATGATTGAAAGCAAAAAAATAACATGACTTACTAAAGCTTGCTCTGTATTTTACAACCAACCAAATGAGCCCTTCAAGCTCTAATAAAAAACTTAAATTGTTCTAGTTGGGATCTTAACAAAGAAAAGTCAAGAACAGGGAAACCAGCCAACAAAGCTACAAACTTTACCGACAAGTTATAAAGAAAAGGTTATATTTTAACTTTTAAAATTCATAAAAAAAAAAAAGTTATAAAGAAAAGATTGTTGCCCCCCGTATAGGATAACATGTCTCCAACCAATCTTCATGAATGAATCATTTCTGACAAGCCTTTCTTACATACATATATTTAACTACATATATAATATAGTAAATAAGTGATATTATGCACTCAATGTTCAACTCGTTAATCTTATGCATATAAAATGTACGTATAAATTATGACTAGTGACATTCACAAGAAAAATCAATATGCACATTTTTATATGTATATGATCATAATAGATAAATTATAATAAATATGCATGTCATATGCAAGTATCATATGATATTGACAATTATTTATCAAATTTTCATATTCATCTAAATTTCTCATATTAGGATATTTTCACTCAAAATGCAAAAATACCCGATAAAAATTTAATATATTCATTTCAATATGTGTAGAATGATTAAAATTATAACATACTAATAGTTATACGGAGGAAGTTTGCTAAATTTTATGATATCATAACTATTGTGAATTTTAATCAAATTAAAATTAAGAAAATACAAAATAAGCAAAATCACTAAAATTGAAGATGAGATAACAATAGCTACCTTAAGAAAACAAATTTCTCAACTTGACCTACTCATAAAAATGACTCTAAGACCTTCAAACCCTAACTTCTCTCTCCTCTCCTCTCTATTTTTATTCTTAATTATTTTGCTTTTTCTCTAAAATGATTGGAGGAAATAAATGTCATATATAAAGTTCTGTAGTGGGAGGAGATATTTTATAAAAATATATATTACAGAGAAGATGGTAATTATACCAATTGTTCAATTTTTAGCATAAAAGTCTAATAAATCTTTTTACATCTTTAAATATGGAGCTCTAAAAGTTTTGAAAAAGTATTAATAAAATAGTTCAACATGTTTAGAATGCTCTAGTTAAATCGGTTTGCAAAATGAACACCTAATGTCCCAAAAATTTCACTTATGCCGACATATAATAATTTCTTAAGGGAATATAATTAATTAAAAGTTTCTTTTTTTTAATATATATCCACACTGCCCATAAAATTAGAGAAAATTTATTATACTCTATGTACAATAATATCTATGCTGTGAGAAAAATAGTTTACAAATTAAACTTATAAATACTCATGAAATATTATTTGATTGTTATAGGTCAAAATATGTCTGATAGAAATTTAAGGATTATTACACTTTATACCCTCTCTTTCTAAACATTTGACTATATAACATAGAAGAAAAAAAAGATGGCCAAATGAGTTTCACATTCAAACTCAATAAGTAACTTATATTTATTAAAATATAAATAAGAAAATATGGGACACACATTATAAATAATAAAAACACATTCTTTATAACTTATTATCAATGTATTGAATTTCATTATATCATTGTACTAGATTAATATTACATAACATGAATGATTAAAAGTGCTAAATGCCAATATAATGATTTATATTATGATTATGCTCATTATCAATTAAATAAAAAGCAAATAACAATGAATTTATATAATAACATATTAATGTATAGCCACTGGTGGAGCAAGGGGTGATTGGAGAAGTGCCCGTTGGTTAAACTAGTTAATTTACATAGGGTTCTAATAACTTACATAGTTGTTATAAACAAATATACAAAATTGAAATTGATTATAAGCAAATGTTTAATAAATATTATGTAATAAATATGACAAACAATAGCTTCATAATAAAATATGATATGGAGGGACAAATTTTTTTGTATTCAGCTATGATATTATGCATGGGAAAATAACTTGCTATCATAGGTATAGTTTTAAAATTAAAAAAAATATACAAATGATTTTATAATAACAAGCTTTCCACATCATATGTATCATATAATGAAAATTAAAGATAATTTACAACAAGGAGTAAGACAATTGATTGTGAAATATATGATTTATAATCTATTAAATATTTAAGAACTTATTGCATGCTTCAAGAATAACGCCCTAATAAAGAAGTGTATATTTTTTAATAGATAAAAGTTACTTATCTTGAATTGCAATACTCAAAATCATCCTCTTTTATAATTAAATAAATAGCACAAAAAAGTGCTAACTCGAAAGCCCTGAACAATACAAACTCTTAATCAATAACAAGTACATGCTTATATGCCTTAAAAACTACTGGTCGACTAATATACATGTAACCTAGTTAATATATTTTACCTCAATTTAAATTCAAATTAATTAACATCTTTTTAAAATATATTAAGCCTATAATTATAAAATAAATTGCAACTTCAAAACATAATGATAATTTCATACATCTAATATATTAAAATATAAACCAACATAATCCTACAAAAATACTCTATAATAAATAATGACAAATAATTAATCTTTCACAATTTTAAAGAGATAATCTCCTCTCATCAACACAAGTTGAATATGAAGCCATAATATCTTTATGATAATAAAAAGAAGGATAAGTTTTAATGACAGGGGAGAGGAGAAGGCAAAGAAGAAATAGAGGAATATAAGGACTAGTTTTCAAGCTAGAGAGAGAAATAGGGCAATTTATTGTGGGAAGAAAGAAAACTCTTGGTTGTGGTGGTTGTCAGTCGAAGGAATACATAAGAAGGATGACTCATTAATGATGATTACGAGGAATTATATTAGATGAGAGAGGAGAAATGCCCCTTTATATCACTAATATATGAGGTGAAACATGTTAATCACATGAAGTAAAGGTGATGGAAGGAGCGAGTCGAGAATCATGCGATGTGAAGGAGGGGTTTGGGTCAACATGAGTTTGGCAATAGGTGAATCACATGAAGTTTTTTTTTTTGTGTTTTACATCCAATTGGGGTTAGTGAGCTAATTTAGCTCATTACACAATATGTCCTACTTCTTGAACATCCTTTATAACTCGTCATAGACCATCATCCATATTATTGAGATAAGTATATTCTTCACACCAAGCTGATTATAACTATATTATTATTAATAACTTCATTATATAATAGTGCACATTCATTATTTTGTTTTGTGTTCTCTTCTTGTATAAAATGAAATGACCAAGTTGAATTGGTGTAAATATGCCATCAATTTCTTGTTTCGAGCTTCTTCAATTTGAATTGTGTTTGGATGTATTGAAGTGTGAGCTACAATCTACTTTCCAAGCATATAATGTCACTAGTGCTTGACACCTCAGTGAAGTGTGAGAAACTTATAATCACACAAAATATAATTCTATTGAGCTCTCAACAACAACTCTTAATAATATGTCACATTGTATCAGAATCATGGCAAGTGCACATATGAAAACATTAGCTTTTAGTTTAAAATGATTTATGAAGCTTGAGAAAGGATAAGGCGCGCTCCTTGTTTATTTTCCTCTTTAGAAGAAGAAATAGGTTATTATATAGAAAATTTCCTCCCAAACATACCTTTAGTTGGCCTTCGTCAATGTGGTATCTCTGGAATAGGTATTCGATTCTACTTGTTATGATCTGACCTAAGTTGAAATAATCCACTATACATCTGCTTTTGTACCCATCAGCATGTGTTTGTTAGTATTTTAGGTGCATGAGAGTTTACATGTGTTTTGGTTATAGGTTTCAAGGGTTTGCTTGCATGTCCGAGAAAATTTAAAAATTCCCCTTGGGCACCTCCGTGTAGGTGTTTATGGCAGTCTGACGCTAGTGCTCTTTAGTATTTGGTAATTTAACTTTGCGCTCTGACGAGCAATAGGCACTGTGACTCCATAAGTTATGTAGGGCGGCATCGTGGCCAGCGCTGCGGTGCTTGAACAAATTTTTATATTAAAATATTCAAATCCACTGTTTTATTCAGTTTAATTCACTCAAACAATCTACACTAGAGAGAGGAAGTCCATCTGGTGGCTTTGGGTTGTTTTCAGCTGACGACCCAGTTCAAAAAGTTGCTCAGGTTGAAGTATGTTACGTTTTGTCGGTTTTGACAATCTCAGTTTTTAATAATTTCATGTTTTTGAGATTTTTTTAATTGAATTTATATATTGGTTTTACAAAAAAAACTTGGTTTTCTCCGGTTATTGTATTCCTTCACGTAACTTTTGATATGTTGTCAGTACAACTGTTATGGTCATTTGGAGTATTTTTTCAAGATTTTTTGTTGGGTAATATTGAAATACAGCAATTTTTATCAATTCAAAATTTCATTTTTCATATCTAAAAATTAAAATTTAATTCATTTAAAGCTTCAAAACGTTGTTATGCAAAACCCATAGTAATTTGATAAAATTCTAAAAAACTTAGTTTTGATAAACTGTAGAATAATTGCTGAAGAATTATTTAACAACAGTTAGAGCATTTTTATAGAATTATAAAATAATATTGTGATGGCTTCAGTAATCTAGAATGCACTTTAATTTCAGTAATTGTGCTATATATATTTAAATTGGTGGCCATAATGAATATTGTTGGTAGTGAGGAGAGATTTTATTATTCTTTTATTTTTTATGTGTTGGAAGCTCTAGAATTTTGAGTGCTATATTTATTAAGAATGAATTATGTTGGTGGTGAGAAGAGATTATGTTGATGATGAGAAGGGATTTTGTTGGTTGTAAGAATGAATTATGGTAATTGTTATATAAGGGAAACTGTGGCCGGTGGGCCATTCTAACAATCAGTATGAAATATTTTATTTATTATTTAATTAGTCTCACTATAGTTTCAATTATTATTTTTTAAATGCTTATTAAAATTCAGTATCAATATATGTTTAAATTTCAACCTTATGTACACTACTTTAGTTGATTATTTTAGTATTTTCAGTCTTTTAGTTTAAGCTATTGATTTTTTTTAGACTATCGTAGCCGATTGAGTCGTATTAGCTCACTCCATTTGTTTTCATTTTCATATCAGGGAAAAGGTAAGGAGGGAACTGAGCAATTTTGATATCAGACATAGATTTGTGTTGTAAGTATATATTTTGGTTTGTTTACTTTTTGCAGGTTTGACTTTTATTTTTGTTATACTTTCTATTGTCAAGTACTGTTGTGAATAGACTTTAGATTATACATGTATTTTTTGATGATATATAAAAGCGATATCGAGATCTAATGATCTTTCGTTTCACATTATATTCAGTAGTACCTCTATGTTATATATAAATTGTATGTTTAGTTTCTCAGCATCATTCAAAGTCTCAAACTGAATTTTGAGGCCAGTCTCTGCTTCTTACTACGATCGGACACAATATGACCTATCTTGCTTCTTGATTCCTTCATTATCCAAAATTGAATTCATGCGCATTCAAATGTTTGGCACAATTAAATTTTAGAGCAAATTTACATTCTATTCCATAGTTCTTCAGAGCGACAATCATTTCAATTCTCGAAAAAAGTTTTTAGAAGTCATCAATCAAGAGATACATCTTTGATTCCCAGAGCTAGCATTATCTTTGTTGATTATCACTCAATCTTTAAAGTTCATAATCCTAAGCTCACCTAATTGTTGTGATTGGTAATCGATCTAATAGGCTGTAAATGCAGAAAAAAAATATTATGTGTGGATGTCGAACGTCGTTCGGAGACTAATCAGAATGAGCCACATCACTCTTTTACTGTACCGCGGCTTGGTACCACGGCTCGATACCGCGGCATCCGGACGGAGAGCTGCATCCGACTTCCTCATAGAATAATTTATCTTAAATGTAACACCTCTGTATTTATAAACTCTCAGGAATTTAATTTACCATGGCTCTATTTTTTTTTTTCAAAATAATAAAATGTAAAATATAATATATACATTTTTTTTTTGGGACATTTAGGTCATTTAAGGCAAACTCCACTAAGTGCAGAGACATCATCATTATCTTTGTTGATTATCACTCAATCTTTAAAGTTCATAATCCTAAGCTCACCTAATTGTTGTGATTGGTAATCGATCTAATAGGCTGTAAATGCAGAAAAATTATTATGTGTGGATGTTGAATGTCGTCCGGAGACTAATCAGAATGCGCCACATCACCCTTTTACTGTACCGCGGCTCGATACCGCGGCATCCGGAGGGAGAGCTGCATCCGACGTCCTCACAGAATAATTTCTCTTAAATGTAACACCTCTATATTTATGAACTCTCAGGAATTTAATTTACCATGGCTCTATTTTTTTTCAAAATAATAAAATGTAAAATATAATATATAAAGATCTGTTTTTTTTTTTGGGAAAGTATAAAAATCTGTTAGTCAGAATTTAAATTAATCTTATTTAAATACATCAGCAAATCCCATACCACAATCTTGGTGTGCGTGTGTGCGATGGCTTCATCAGCAATTTCCTCCAGGTTAGTTCTCCTGCATCATTTTCTCGTCTTCCTTCTTGCCTCAGTGTGCAAGCTCTCTCAACTTCTACGTCGTCTTCCTCATAATATCTTTATATTCATCTCTTCGTCTTTGGCGCCGTCCCCTCGTCTTTCGTATTTCCGCAGCTGTAGGGATTCGGGAGAGGTCTCGAGCCAAATCAGCCTAAAATCCGTGAGGGAAGCTCTCATCCGACTGGAGGATTCTATCGTTTTCAGTCTCATCGAGAGAGCTCGGCATCCCTACAACGCCCCAGCGTACGACCGATTGTATTTGAAATCCTCTGGAAGTTCGCTGGCTGAGCTGTTTGTGAAAGAGGCGGAACATCTTCATGCCAAAGTGGGTTTTTTTTTTCTTTCATTTTCCCATTGTTTCTTTCATTCTACTATTTTGGGGTTATATTGGGTTATATTCTGAGAAATAGTTCTAGGAAAGATGTTTTTTTACAATACTGGAAATTTGGTTTCTCTTTTCGTGATATTTAGAGGTTTATGCCTCTCAGCATTGTTTAATCCTTCTCTCCTTACCGAAATTTTCCTTTAACTATAAGATCATATCACATTTCATGAACTATCACATCTTTTTGTTGAGTTTTTCTCATCTCTGATTAAAATTCTTTATAATTATTTCACTTCTTGTAGAAGTTCTGTCGCTTAATCAAGAATCATGCAGTGTGTATAAAGTATTTCATTATTAGTTAAACCAGCAGCAAAACCAACAGGGAACCATTTTAAATGCTATTGTATGCTAATGCTAGTGATCCTTTGTAGTATTTGATCGTCAAAGCTACTTCTTTCTGTTTGAAGGTGCATCTCATGTTCTATCATGATATAACCTTAACATTATCGCTTTAATCTACCTTTGTGATGAATATGCAAATATTAATCACACTTTTGTTATTCAACTATTTGTATGAAGAAAGAAAATATAATCAGGCTCTGCTAATTTGAGTAATGTAGTTGAGTAATCATGAACCTTCTTTTAGTATGAGAATTTGTGGAATTTCATTATTATTTTAATGTATGCGAGGCTATAGCTTCATATTTGAGTGTACTGAACTTGTGATGTGGTGGCCAGATATTTGCTTGCCCCATTCATACCTAAAGGACATGTTTTTGAACCTGGGAACAACTTCTCCATCACATACAACTAAAGAAGTGTAAGTTACGTACAATCCTACATATAGCCCATAATCGACCACAGTTTCATGCACTATTTTTACCCGTTGGTATGCTTAACTACTTAATATTATTATTATATTATACTTGCTTACATGATTGAATTTCCTTATGATCTTTAGCAATATTTCTCATTGATTTTCATGCTTGTATTTTTTTCCCCTTTTACAATTTTTTATTTATGGTTTAGGGACAGGGGGTGGGTGCTAATATTCATGTTATTTTTGTGTTTGTGATTTTGTTATTTATTCATGCTTAAGAGTTAAGTGCATCCTATATAGTACTGTTATGTATTGATTATGAATTAAACAAATTGAGAAATTATATTTTCTCAGGCTGGAAGGTATGAAAACCCAGAGGAGGTTCCCTTTTTCCCTGAAGATCTGCCTTCGCCTTTAGTTCCTTCATACAATTACCCCCAGGTAAGTCTTCCCTCACTTGCTTTTCCCTTCATAATAACTAGAATTCAAATCATGCCCTGATTCTTGGAAAATAGGTGTTGCATCCCGCTGGCGCATCTGTGAATATAACCAAGACTATATGGAACATGTATTTCAATGAATTACTTCCACTATTTACTGCTGAGGGTGATGATGGTAATTATGCATCCACATTGGCATCAGACCTTGTATGCTTGCAGGTAATAAAATTAAAATTGTCTGTGATCATCCGTAATTTTGCATTTTGATGCATCATTTTGAGCACAGGCCATATCTAGAAGGATCCACTATGGCAAATTTGTGGCAGAGGTCAAGTTCAGGGATGCCCCACTGGATTATAGTTCTGCAATCAATAATAAGGTATCTTCCTTTTTCTGTTTACTTTTCATGCCAATTCATGTGTGCTTTTGTCAAGTTTTGGGTCGTTTGCGTTTATTTAATAAAATTTATTTTAAGTTCTACTCATTGTGTCAATTTTCTTCTTGTGTGTCTTTTGTGATCAAGAGATATAGGTTCCCTATATCCCTTGTCTACATCAAGTTGACAGGACATCGGTGCTTATCATTGTGGGATTTAAACTTATATTGAGATTTCTATAGTCATTTCTTAATCTCCTTGTATGCCATGCATATATGATTTAAAATGAACCGTTTTGGGTCATCATACATGACCAGTTTGGTTCCTTGGAGAGCCAAATTGGATGAGGTGGATTTCATTTTAAATTCTTGTATGCATCCTTTCTTATCACTAAGGAAGATTTTAATTAGGTTCCATTATTATAGAAATTGGGCATCTATTATTATGAAGTTATTTTTTTTGTGTTTTATATGCACTTATTATTGACACAATAGTGAACTATATTTTCCCCACCTATCCTTTTTCTCCTGTCATTGTTGTGATTGTTGCCCTCTATTATTTGAGAGCGAGCATAGTGATTTCCCATACACTTGCGCACTTTTTAATGCACTTACACGCTTCTAGATATATTTTCACAACGCACTTGCTTTTGGTGTATTTGTGTGGTGCACTAGCATGTTATTCATTACACTTGCACGCTGCATTTGAACAATGCACTTGTAGATTTGAGTTAGATATTTGTTCAAGAAGACAATTTTAAGTTGACATTAACTAATAGGGAGCTCTTTGTGCCCTTTCAAGTGTACCTGATGATTCATAACTCAAGGGGATTAAAGCCATTGGGAAATATCTAAATTATGACCATGATTCTTATATAACTATGTAATTTTATGATGAACTACATTGTTAAAAGGGCTGGTCATAGCTGTTATTTAGTTGTACTATTTGACGATAAAATCATCTAGTTAGATGACACATTTCACGTCATTTTGGCGAGAGGTCATTTGAGAGTGAACATAGTGCTTTCAATATACTTGCACATTTTTCTATCCATTTGTATGTTTTTTAATATATTTATAGTGCGCTTTCCTTGTTTTTGTGCATTTGTCCAGTGCACTTGCATGCAATTCAATAAGTACTTGCATGATGCACTTGTATGATTTTTTTATATTTGCACAATACGCTTAGATGTTTTTTTGTGCATTCGCAATGTGCATTGACATATTTTTTGTTCATTTGCACATTGCCCTTAAGCTTTTACACACTTACATGCTTTTCAATGCATATGCATACTTATCATTATGTTTGCACAATTCAATTGTGTTTTATTGGTTCATTTGTATGTGGTGTACTTACACCCTTTTAATATGCTTGCATGATGCATTTACGTTTTCTTCAAGACATCATAATTGAGTTTAAAAGTTGGCCCATGATATATGCATGATTTAAAAACATTTAGATTTTTTATTTTGCAAGATGAATAATGTGTAATTTTTTATTTTGAGATTTTAAAATTATCTTATGTCCACTTGTATGCATTTGTTGCAGATTTAGTGGGGTATAAGGAGAGAGTTAGAATCTTATTGTGTTTTGAGATGTGATAATTTTTCCTTTATATGTTCGTGATATAGTTACCGTGTTTTTCCATTTAAATGCAGGACAAAGATGCTTTGATGAAAATGCTCACATTTGAAAGAGTTGAAGAAATGGTTAAACGGAGGGTTGAGAAGAAAGCCATGATTTTTGGTCAGGAGGTGACAATAGAGGACAAGGAGGATGACAATGTGGATTGCAAGGTAAACCCTTCTGTAGTCTCTCGCCTCTATGGAGACTGGATTATTCCTCTAACCAAGCTTGTTGAAGTTGATTATCTGCTCCGTCGGCTTGAATGATTGATTGCATTGCAATCTGCACTGCTTCATATATTTCTGCTTTGTGATCTGACGACCTGAGATATTTTGAAAATTATTTAGCGAGTGAAATAATTGTGTGTGAGCCATAGTAATTCTTGCTTGATTGCCATATTTTGTGCTTCATGGTATGGGTCATTGTGTTATATATCATAGGAGAAAATATGGACCATCAAAGCCCACATTTTCTCAATAAGCTGTGAGAAGTTCCAAATAATAGGGAGAGTTGATGGTGCATTTCATTATCTTGGATTCACACTGTGAACACAGAAGGTGAACTGCATGCAAAAGGAGAAATTATTATGTGCGGATGTCGAAAACAGCTCTACGGTTGGATGCCGCGGTACCGAGCCACGGTATAGTAAAAGGGTGACATGATATATTTTTATTGGTCCCGCACAAAATAATTTTTTGTGCAAAAGGTGGACAACGGACGGCTTGATCTCAAAGCTACTCGGGAGCTCATTTTTCGTGGCATCAGCCAAGCTCGAGCCCGCCTTTTGAGTTTAACTCGAGTTTGAGCTCGGGTTTGGCTCGCGGGTTGAGCTCGAGTTAAACATGACTTTATTCGTTTGCACCCCTACTCGTGGGCCTAAGAAGTCTACTATTTAGCTTTGATTACAGGATCATGCCCATTCAATATTAAGAGTACTTTCAATGTCTAATGTCGTTTCGCAATCCTCCAAAAACTTCAGATCATGATAAAGTTTGCTCTCTGTCATAACAAGTGGACGGATAATAAATGACTACTAGTTCTTGAAGGCGCTCATCGAGAAGCTAAAATCAATTCCTAATGCTGTCCAACTCTGTAATATACCAAATCCAACAACATTAACTACACTACGCCCCCAAAGTAAGGCCTAGTTGCATGCTTATTTTAAAGAATAGAGATATGGGTATTTTAATATTGAAAAATTGGATTTTATATGCCTCATAATTGTCCTAATTGGCCAAATTTGTCTGTTTTTTCTTGGAGAAATATATTTAAAAGTTCATTTTAAACTAAAATGCATCATCTGTTATCTACAAATAACTTATTTGAAGTCCGTCACAAATAAAATTGATTTGAATTGGATTGTATTCGAACTTGATTCGAACCTGCCCGTTGTTTAAACATTACAAATTTCTTCTTCTTCGAACACCGTTAGGTGGAACGAAGCTCACTAAGATGACATGAAAATGACTTGATGCGTATGTAAGTGGTGAGGAGTTTGCGAATAGGCCTTAGTGGTGAAGGCGTCACAAGGCTGACAAGTGAACTTTATTATGAACTTTCAGATATATTTGTTCGTAGTGAACTTTATTATGAACTTTCAGATATATTTGTTCAAGAAAATAAACATCGGACATATTTGGCTAATTATGACTATCATGTGTCATATAAAAAAAGCTTTAATTTTTAAGATATATATTAACAACAACAACAATTATTATAATAATAATAATTAAAACATTACAATGAATCGAAATTTGGCATAAGAGAAAAATTTTACTTTCTAAATAAATTCACTTAAAATTAAAAAAGCTGTTTTATTCTATATAATTAGATCAATAAATATTCTTACAAATAAAAAAATAAAAGAAATGTTTGCACACATATTAGTAAAGTTTTTTATTTTGTATTCCAAGCATGACTGTTGCTAGTTATTTGGAGAAATATACTCAAAAGTTCAGATAAAAAGTCGCTCATTTTTTTTGCTGTTGACTACGTATTTGAAGTCTTTGTTGAATGAAAAAATTTTGAACAACCTTGTAATCAAATATAAATTGGAATCCTATTTCAAACAATGTATGAACCTTGTTCATACTCAGTTTGAATATCATTTGAATTAGTGGTTCAAATCTAGTTAGAACTCCTAGGTCGAACTAGGTTTGAACTCCTAGTGCAAACTGTGTTCAAATTAGGGGTGCCAATTTTTGACACGACTCGAACCTGACCCGGAAAAATCCGGGTTCGGGTCAACCCGAGCCTGAAACGGGTCGGGTTCGGGTTGAACAAATCAACCCGTTTTAAAAATCGGGTCGGGTTCGGGTTGACCCAGCAACCCGAAATTGATACGAAAACTCATATTTGACCCGAAAACCCTAGATTGACCCGTTTTTTACCCCATTTTGACCCGAAAATTGAATATTGACCCGATTTTGACCCAAAAATTAACAATTGTAGTTCAACTTCGGGTCATTCGTGTCGGGTCGGGTTGACCCGGACCCGAATCGGGTCGGGTTTGATTCAGGTTTGAGTCAGGAAACCTGACCCGTTTTTAAAAACGGGTCAGGTTTCT